GAGCTAGATCTTGCCTCAACTTGATCGTCACACCGTAGTTAGCCTGGCTGGTGTTTAGGGATGGGTTCCCAGGCTACCAAAGAGGAGGAAACTCATAGAGAAGGATACCCACCAACCCTTCCCCTTGATCTCTTTCAACAAAAACAGGAGGCTTGTTTCCCAGAATGTACAGCCAGAAAAGTGAGCCTAGATTGCTCTGATAGGCACCATCTTGGCAAGAGGAAGTGATAAAGAAAAGGGACCAGAGTCCTGGAGACTGCTGCTATGTTCAGAATGGCCCCTCCCCCATACATGTTGACATATAATCTCCACTGTAACAGTGTTGATAGATGAACCTTTACTGGAGGTTAAGTCATGGACCACCCCTCAATGGGTAGATTAAGACCATTGTGGAGGGAACAGGTTAATGAGTGGCAGAGCAGGTTTGGTCAATCCGATTGTATGGCAGCAATGCCTTTTACGCATCTGTGATTTGAAGCAGATGAGTACACCACAATCCTTCCCGAATCCTCACCCAGAGCCACTCCACCTGGCGACTCAGGTACACAGGTTTGTTCTCCCACCATGTTGCATCACAGCACAGAAGCCCTGGACAGATGCCAGTGCCATGCTCTTGAACTTCCCAGCCTCTAAAACTGTTGACCAAATAGACATGCTTCTAAAGTTCTTCATAAATACTGCTACTGTGGAAGCACTTAGGGTTCCACCTACTATAAACACACTTAAAAGAAAGTGTTTAATTGGGCTTAGTGTTTCTGAGTGCTAGAGTCCAGGGGGCAGAGAGAAGGCTTGGCAGCAGGAACAGCAAATCACAGGTAGAGAGCATTAACTCAACTGGCAAGAGTCTTTTGATTCCTCAAAGCCCACCCCCAAGTGACACACTTCCTCTAGCAAGGACGCACCTCCTGATCCTCCCCAAATAATCACCAACTGGAAACTAAGTATTTAGGTGCTTGAGACTTATGAAGGGCATGTCATTCGAACCACCATACAAGAGCAGCTGTAGCCTTAGACAACCTTGACTTTCACCACACCTGCTCTATGATGTGTCTAACTTGTAAACCTACAGCATCTGTGTATAGATGGGTGAGAATTCTTAGCAAGTGAGTGATTGCACTTTAGATTTTTAAATTTAATTTTTAAAAGTGTGTGTTCAGTATTGTGTACTATGTATTCCATATAAAGACCTGTATTTATACATAAGAAAGAGTTGGCATGATTCATGTACCACCACTGAGGAGAGAAAACCCCAGCTCAATTCAGGATCTCTGCTTTCTGGGTACAGACTATGAGACAATGTGAATACTTTCCTTTAAGTCTTGCCTTTTTCCCACAGTATCTCATGGCAGTTCTGAGGAAGTGGGCTGTAATTCTCCTTGTTTACAACTGGGATACAGAGAGATGAAAAATGCACTCAGTGTCATAGAGCTACCAAATGAAGCAACATGTTTCACACGCAGAGCCTGGCCATTTACAAAGTCTAGAAAATCTTAGTTTTTAAAAAAATTTGCTTTTGAATTGGTTTTGGCCAAGAGAGGATTGGGAACCTGTGTATGTTTGTCCTCTCAGACTAGAAGACTGTGGCAGTCCTCACCTGTCCTCTGCTTTGCTGGGCTGGGGGGTGGCAGGGAATATGGCCACGCTGGCTGCTTCCCACACTCCTGTGCCTTTTGGCTCCCAACCGGTTCAGTCACTGGAAGATGCTGGTGAAACAGCAACACCACAAACATGCAAGAAGACTCTCCTTTGTCTCTGTCTCTCTATGTCTCTCTTTGTCCTTCTCTGTTTCTTTGTCTCTCTGTCTTTGTCTCTTTCTTTGCTTCACCCCCAACCTACCCATCTCCTTGGGAAGTGGCCTTGATCTGGGCTGATTTTCCTCCATGTGGTCACATCTCACCTGCCAGGCTGCTGTGTCTCCAGGTCCTAGTCCTCTTCTTCCATCTGACCCTCCAATCTAGAGGAGACTAGAGCTTCCTTCAGTTTCTGAGCTCTGATCTCCCTACTATCCCTTTTGATTTCCTGCCCTTTGATCACCCCAGTGACTAGTCTGTTATATTAAATCCCTTCCTTTGGAAGACATAGACTGGACTTTGCTTTCCTGGCCTAAGCCAGAACAGTATAGGGACACACACACTCACACAAACCGTAGCAGTACACAAGTGGAAAAGTATAGATCTGATCACATTCACTGGCCACATTACCCCCACTGCAGAGCAGGATTGGACACCAACTGTGTAGGTGGATATGAGAATACAGTGGGCAGCATCCAGTTCCTTGAACAGTGAGCATGGAAACACTGCTCCCATGGACCCTTCATCACCCACCACTTCTTCCTGAACTGCAAAGGGTAGAGAAAGTGGACACAGATCTTAGGTTACTGTAAGACAAACACAGGGACTGTGTTTTGGGAGTCCAGGAGTACACACCTGTTTTGGCCATTCATCCCTCCTCTACCTTCTGATGTCCTTGGTCCTCTTCAATGTGACAAGTGGCCAGAACCAGAGGACTTTAAGAGGCATTCCCAGCTGAGGTCTTACTGGAATTAATGGCATGAAGTCCATATCCTTTGACTTTCTCCAGGCCTTTCCAAAAAAGCAGCTTCCTTATTTCTTACCACGGGAGCCCCTGGAGACAGTTTCTGAACATGGAATGGACATGTTATAAATGCAAACATTCTTAAGAGGGCCAACTCAGTGACAATCTTGGTAGCCATGATGGGCACAGTAGTCAGAGTGATGGAGAGTTAGAGCCAATAAGATGCATAGAAGCTAGAAGAATGGGGAGGTCTGAGGGGAGCCAGGAGCAAAAGAATCTTGTCAGCTTGTCAGGCCATCAACTATGTGGAGGCCCACCACCATTAGAGGGTAGTCTGTTAGCTCGGTCCCCACACTCTCTTGTCAGTCTCACCCCAAATCACCTTACCAGAAACACACTGAGCACAGGCCCAGTCAGGCTGGCACATGAAATGAATTAGCATGTTAATGTAAGAGGCCACAGTGAAGAGGAAGCTTAAGCCACAGTGAATATTCCTCTCATCTGAAGTCCCAGAACAGCAGGTTCAAAGACACACAGAACAACAGCCAGGGCTGAAGGACAGGAGAATGGAAGCTGCTGCTGTGGGAACAGAATATCAGTTGGGAGTCATGATAAAATCCTGGTGCTGAAACTGGCTGGTAGTGGTGCAAGCCTTTAATCCCAGAATTTGGGAGGTAGAGGCAGGTGGATCTCTGTGAGTTTGAGGCTAGTCTGGTCTACAGAGCAAGTTCCAGGACAATCAAGGCTACACAAAGAAACTGTGTCAAAAAAACCCAAACCAAAGCAAAAATAATAAATGATAATAATAAAGTAAAATTCTGGTGCTAGATTATGGTGGTAGCTGTTCAATAGCTCAATGTCCTCAATGCCACTGAGCTATGCACATGAAAACAAAAAGCTCAATAACACGTGCATCATCAAAAAAAATTCCAATTCTTAAAACTTAACACCAATGACAGTCTATGCTGGAGAGGATGTGGAGAAAGAGGAACACTCCTCCATTGCTGGTGGGAGTGAAAACTTGTACAACCACTTTGGAAATCAGTATGGCGGTTTCTCAGGAACATGGGAATCAATCTACCTCAAGATCCAGCCATTCCTCTCTTGGGCATATACCCAAAGAATGCACATTTATACAATAAGGACATATGTTTAACTATGTTCATAGCAGCATTATTTGGAATAGCTAGAACCTGGAAGCAGCCTAGATGCCCCTCAACTGAAGAATGGATAGAGAAAATGTGGTACATTTACACAATGGAGTACTACTCAGCAGAAAAAAACAATGGAATCTTGAAATTCGCAGGCAAATGGATAGAACTAGAAGAAACCATCCTGAGTGAGGTAACCCAGTCACAAAAAGATAAACTTGGTATGTACTCACTCATATAAGATTTTTGACGTAGAGCAAAGGATTACCAGTCTACAATCCACACTGCCAGAGGAGCTAGGAAACAATGAGGATCCCAAGAGAAGATTGCATAGTCCCTCGTAGAATGGAGGGGGACAAGAACCCCTGAACAAAGTGGAGCACGGGGCGTGGGTGGAGATGAAGGAGGTGGGAAGGGAAGAAGGAGAAGGAGGAAGAGAACAAGAGGACTGAGACAGGGGAGGAATAGAGGAGGGCAAGAAAGGAGATGCCTTGATAGAGGGAGACAGTACAGGTATGGAGAGAGGTCTGGCACAGGGAAAATGTTAGGGGAGCCACAGGGATGACCCCAACTAAGAATCCAAGCAGTAGTAGAGAAAATGCCATTGATGCCCTTTCCCCTATAATGAAATTGGTGTCTACCTTGGTTACCATTCCTAGAGCCTTCATCCAGTAGCTGTTTGAAGCAGAAACAGGCACCCACAGCTAAGCACTGAATCATACTCCTGGAATCCAATTGTGGAGAGGGAGGGGGGATGAGCAAGGAAGACAAGACAGTGCTGCAGAAATCCGCAGAAACACTTGACCTGACCTAGTGAGAGCATGGAGACCCTAGTCATAAAGCTGGGGAAACAGCACTAGACCGAACCAAGCCCTCTGAATGTGGGTGCCAGCTAGGAGGCCTAGACAGTCTATGGGACCTCTAACAGTGGAGCCAGTCTTTAACCCTAGAACACAAATGGATTTTGGAAGCCCATTCCTTATGGAGGGATTCTATTGCAGTCCAGTTACAGCAAGGAGGGCCTAGGCCCTGCCCCAAATGATATGACAGACTTTGAAGGTCCCTGGTGGAGGGCCTCACTATCCCTGGAGATGAGTTGGGGGATGGGTTGGGGGGATTGGGTGGGAACTTGGGAAGATGGGAGGGCGAAGGAATGGGGGAATAGATATATAAATGTGAGTAGTAATTAAAGAATTTAAATAAAAGAAGAAATTGTAAAAAAAGAATAAAGACATGAACACTGAAAAACAACTTGACAATAATACTATTGTATACATGAAGCTGCCATTTTTAAGTGAATTTAAAAATACTTCAGTGTTCACTCAGGCAGCATATACATTAAAACTGAAACAATACAGAGATTAGCCTGGCCCTTGTGCAAGGATGACATGAAAATTAATAAAATTCATAAAGCATTACATATTGTTAAACAACACTCAAACTGCTAATTAAACGAGGACTAATTAATGTACACCTTTCAATGATATCAATGGTCTCGGTCCCCACAAATAAAAATACATAGACTTGCAGAGTGGACACATACACAATGGAATAGTATGCAACTGCAAAGAAAAAATGAAATCTTCAGGAAAATGGATGGAAATGGAAAAGAATATTCTGAGTGCGATAACCCAAGTCCCAATGTTTTCTCTCATCTGAGGATCCTAGCTTCAACTTTAGTTCAGTACATCTGTCATAGAACACCAGTGGAAGCCAGAAAGCAAGGAAGAGGGGAGGGTTATCATAAACGGGGCAGTGGGGGGTAAGGTGGTAAGAAGAAGTTGAGGCAGGGAAGGAGGCGGGGTCAGGGGTTGGGGAGATGAAGACGTGGATAAAGGGTGTATAATGGAAGTAGATGGAAAGCAAGATACACCCACTTGTGCAATGGTGGCTTGACTGTTGTGGGGACAACCGACTGGTCCCTGATTGAATTCAAGGCCCACCACACAGGAAGGTGGCAACTGATACTTTCAGGCTGGCTAGCAACTCGGGTCTGGAGAAGTCAATTAGCCCATTAGGAAAACATATTTTGATGACTAACTGACATAGTAGCACACTGTCTTCTAAACACCTGTGCCTGTTCCTGTAGACAAAAGCTGCCCTTAACCTTAATCAGAGAATTCTCTCCTCATGATGAACAGTGGCAACTGTAGAGACTCAAAGCTGCCCAAGATACAGAGAATAATGACAGATGTGGGCCCAGCCCTAAACACATCATTCATATCACCTCCTTGAAGAAGAAGGGGCAGGAATGTATAGGAGTCCGAAGACGAGGGAGGCGTTCTTTAGGTCCACACAACCGTTGCAATCATTGACTAACAACTATAGTTACCTGTCCTGGGGCTAGACAGACCCACTTTGTCAATAACCACTCACGGAAGGGGGAGGGACTATGGGAGCCCAACTTTGACCTCTGAATTTATTGGCTATTAATAGATTGTGGCAAAGGGGAGAATCACTGTCTTTAGTTGTATACCCTCAGCTGACTTCAGTGGGCTCCAACACACAGCTCCAAACCCCAGGTTGCATGGATGATCCTGGTTAATCTCAGTGGGTCACAAAACAGGGCGAATAGACATGAACATTGGAGAGATCTGTGGGGAAGTGGGGGCCAGAGAGGGGTAATTAGGAGGTGAGGAGTGACAATGGTCACTATGCATAATATACATGTGCAAAATTGTAAAAGTAAAGATAAATAAATGAGATATTTTAACTGCAAAACAAGCACAGAGCAAATAAAACAAAAATAAGGATTGTTTTAGCTACTTTCTGTTGCCTAACAAATCACATCAAAACTTTGTAGCTCAAAACAACAAATTCTTATTGTTAACTATTTTTACTACCCTTCTGGCTTGAACAGCGAATGTGGAGGCAGTCTTCTGAGATGGCTGCCCTTCCCTCCCCCAGGGTGAGGGTGCATGCCTGTGTATGGTTCCTCCTGTAGTCTTGGTAGTTGGATCACAGGAATGAGCATTATGACAGAGCAGGTAGAACATCAGTCCTCCTAAATCTAGGCCTGGAAGTTACAGCTGTCGCTGAAAGCCATGGAGTACTCTTAAAGAAGCCAGAGGCTGCAGGAACATACGTTCCCCCTCTCAAAGGAGGAGTGTCAACAGTGTGTATGTTCCCTTTGAGCCTACCTAAAGCGGCTGAAAACCAATGTCAAGATGGTGCAGGCCTGAAGGAGGGAGGGACAGATGCAGAGACTTCTCTCTTTTCATTTGTAGTCACTGGTAGGAGTTGGGGTGAGCACACTGGTTGATCCAGTACTGACTGGTCCAGTCCTCTGCTGAACAGTGTCAAAGCACCCAACCACACACAGCTGGACACTCTTCAAAGTCCTGGGTTATAGCACATTCATCTAATGTTGAAACTGCTGAGATTCATGTTAACTTTCTTAGATGACTCAGAAGCCTGCAGCTTCCTGAGGGGCCTGGGGTCACCACCAGTGACATCCATTATCATTTCGATGTTCCCACACCCCAAGGCTGGTCGACAGAATGCCAAAGAGATAAACCACTTTTACTGTAATTCACCCTCTGAAAAAATGGGATTTACCAAGCAAATTAAGAGGGCGAAGAAACTTACAGGGGTGACATTTAGCCTACTCAAGACACCAAACTTTTCAAGCACTTTAGAGCTGCGATTTACATACAATTACAGGAATGCCTCATTTATCCACGCCTGCCAGGAGGAGCAGTTTCATATGAGTAGATTTTCCAGATAATGGTGGCTTCCGCTAGAAGCACTGAGCCATTTAACCAGACTGGCAGAAATCGTCCCCAAATAGATACTCAGCATCTAGAGTATCCAGACTGCCCGTGGCCATCAACCATAACATCTGAGCCAGGCCCAAGTTCTCAAAGCAGCTTGCCATTATGCAGGTTGCTAACTGATAGCTTACGTCACCAACATCAGGTAACTGCTTCATCCATCCAACACATGTCCACCGACCACCTACTTCCTGCCATGGCCTGATACTTTTGTTTGTTAAAGATCTATTTATTTGTGGGTTTTGTGTATGAGTGGTATGAATAAGTATCTGTGCACCACATATGTGCAGTGCCCATGGAGGCCAGAAGAGAGTATCAGATCTTCTGGAATAGCCATGTGGGTGCTGAGACTCTAACCCAATCCACTGCAAAAGCAGCCAGTGTATGAATGCACATACATGTGAGTGTGTCTATGCATGCATGAGTGTGAAGACCCAAAGTTGCCAACTGATGTTGGATGTCTTCTTCCCTCACTCCCACCTTTATTTATTGAGTCAGAACCTCTGAATTAAGCTCAGTTCACTTATTCCACTAGTTTAGATAGCCACCTTGTTCTAGGTGAGCAGCCTGTCTACTCCCATACTTGGATCACAGGCAGCTGCCATGCCTCCCAGAGTTTTTGCTTGGGTTCTGAGGACATGAACTCCACATCTCATGCATCTCACACTTGCAGGACAAGTGTTTATCCATGGGGTAATCTCCCCAGGCTATATAGGGGCACCCTGTATCTTCTTTCATATGCACAACCTGGTAAAACACCTTTTGTGTGTCTATGTTCTGCCTAGATGCAAACAACACAGTGCTGTGGAGCTTTCTGGTCCTTGCTTTTCCACCAAGAGTCATGTCTTTAAGACGGTTTATCCTGCTCTTAACATTGTCTTGCTTTGCCTCCAGATCTGCAGCATTTTCTTTTCAGGTTGCTCTAGGGATGGGCAGTCAGACCATCCTGCCTCAGAAGCAATGCTGCCCTGAGCACCTATGCATCCAGAATGACAAGGCCTCAGAGTACATGTGACCTTCAGTCACATTAGCAGACTACCCTCATGGGTGACAATGTCACACTATAGTCACCAGTAGTTTACAAAAAATCCCCTAGGGCTGAAGAAATGGCTCAGTTGGCAAACACTCTGTCTGCCAAATCAGAGAACCTGAGTTCCATCACAGGGGTCCACATGGCAGGAGTGAAACCACCCCTACAAGTTGCCCTCCAAGCTCCAGACCTGCACTATGGCACATGTGCCCAGATGTGCTCTCTAGAAGATTCGATTTCCTGTACGTTGTAATTTCCTAAGCCAGACTGCAGAAGGACAGTGTGTCAGCTCAACACACACACACACACACACACACACACACACACACACACACACACACACACACACATACACACCCCCCCACACACAAAACCCACACACACACACACACACCCACACACCCACCCCACACACACACACACACACACACACACACATACACACACACACACACACCAAATAAGTAACTTTTAGAAAGAACAAAACAAAACAGAAACAGCCCCATGGTGGGACTCATCCCCATACTGCTGTGCGATTGCCAACAGTTGATGTTTTCATCTTTTTTTCTTTCTCAGTCTTGTGAGTGTGAAATGTGACTTTCTGCTTATTTTTTGCTTGTTTACCCAGGGGCTCAGAATCCCATCATGCCCACAGTATGGCAGGCTGTATGGGTTGCACATTCATTTTCCTTGTGGTCTGTCACCTGTTGCTAATTGCCTGTGTACACCAAGGTGCTGCGTTTGGGCATAGCTGGTCATCCCAAACAGATTCCCACCTGGGTCCATCCCCTTTAGGCTTCTTGTCTGCTGACCTCTTTCCTACCATGCCCTGAAATCACAAGGGAGACTAAGCTCTTCCTATAGCCAGGCATCTTTGTGCTTGCATTTCTGTTTAGCATTCATGGCTTCCTGACATTTCCTACAAGTGTCCTTATGGCTTCCCTATCAGATGGAAAGGGCTGGAGGGTAGGGTTTAACTCCGCTGCCTTCCTACTCCCCAGCAGGCAGCACACAGCGAATGCTCAGTAGGTGCCTCCTACATCGATTCTCTTCACTGAGTATCATGTATAGCTGGAGGAGTGGTCATGTTTTTGACCATCTATGAAGATGTGCTGACACTAGCAAAAACTCCAGGGGCAAGGCCAGTGAGATTCTCCCTTTAGTTGAAGGCAGAATTCGTTCACAGATCCAAGGTTTCAGACTCAACTCTTCTCCAGGAAGCTCTCTCACTCACATGCGAGAGAATTGAAAATGGATAATAGAGAAGCTTCTGGCTCTTTACTCAGATAACTGAGGGTGTTTGCCTGCATCCCATCGTGTGCACCTACCTGTGCATATTCCTCATCACCCATCACCACTGAACAGCAAACAACCACAGAACAGGGCTTAAAGCAATGGTGGTGATGTGTGACCTGCCATCTCCTGCATGGGGAGGTCAGTGTGGGAAGTGGGCTGGCTTGTGTTGCTGTCACCCAGCATAGAAGCTGGAATCAGCTTGGCAGCATCTCCACTTATATGCCTGCTGCCTGTGCTCCATCAGCAGGACTAAAACCTCGGACTTTTGGGTACCTCTTGGTCTAGCTAGTCTCTGCAGTGTGGAAGCTACAGGAATTGG